GTCAACGCCGAAGTATTTTACCACTTCGCCGACAACGGTTACGTTATACCTGCAGAAGTCAACACCAACGAAGTAGATTGCATAGGGCCCAACTTCATACCTGACCCAGAAGCAGGTGACGAAGCAGCTTATCCCGCGGATACCACACTCCCCCCGCTACACACAGAGTGGCCTTCAGATACTTGGCCTCGTCACCGCAGTCCACGGCACTGTGATTCCTAAGGAGCCTGCGACAGTTCAACAGGCTCTGGGGGGGGAGCACAGGGAAAAGTGGCGCGAAGCCATGGACAGGGAATTGAAGGCACTAGAGGAACGCAACACCTGGAAAGTTGTTCCTATCGGAGTGGCACGAAACAAGACTATACTCACCGGGAAGTGGGTCTTCCGAGTGAAAACAAAAGCAGACGGCACCATCGACAAATTCAAAGCACGCTGGGTTGTACATGGCTTCGACCAAGAACACGGACGCGACTTCACCGAGACATTCGCCCCGGTCAGCCGACACACCTCACTTCGAATCCTCCTCGCGATCGCCGCCATGAAGAAAAAGAAGCTGCGGCAAATCGACGTCGCGAATGCATTTCTCCACACACCTGTTGACGCTGAGATCTTCGTCGAGCTCCTGCATGGCTCCAACGGAGAACCCAACCAAGTCTTTCAACTGCTGAAGTCGCTCTACGGCATCAAACAAGCTCCGAGGCTGTGGCAACAGTACCTGCACGCAAGACTTATCCGCATAGGATTTCGCCAGCTACCTCACGACCAGGGAATGTACCGGCTGACAAAAGGCACGACTACATCCTACTAATCGTCTACGTAGACGATCTGCTCTACATCGGGTCGACCGACGGCGTCACTACTTGGTTCGAAGGGGAGCTGCAGAAAGACCTCACGCTCACAGTCTCGTCCACCGTCACACAATACCTCGGCCTCAACATCCAGGAAGAAGAAAATGCGATCTACCTCAGCGCAGCGAAATACGCCGATACCATCGCCAAGCGCTTCGCACTCACGCCGATCGCCATCTCAATGCCATACCGCTACACGGCAGGAAATCACAAGGAAGGCTCCGCTCTACTCAAGCCCGCCGGCATACGCGACTACCAAAGGAAGCTGGGAGGCCTCCTCTTTGCAGCGATCACCTGCTGCCCGGACCTATCGTACTCTGCAAGCCAGCTCGCCACCTACCTCAAGAAACCTGAAGCGGAACATCTGGCGGATCTTGACCGCGCTCTTCACTACCTTGTCAGCACCCCAACAATTGGCCTGACCTACCATAAAAACACGACTACATCGCCTAAACTAATCGGCTACGTCGACGCCGATCACGCCGGTGACTCCGACAACTGACGCTCGCGCACCGGCTACATCTATCGCCTCAAGCCTATCGGACCTATCTCTTGGCAGTCGAGCAAGCAGGAATTAATCGCCCTCTCTTCAGCTGAAGCAGAATATATCGCACTCTGCTCAGCCACCAAGGAAGGACTGTACCTTCGCGAACTCCTGGAGGAAGCCAAGCTAGCCCAGTTACCAAACTTTACCCTGTTCTGCGACAACCAATCGGCCATTCGCATAGCCAACAAGAGCGGCTTCGCGAACAGGACGAAACACATTGCCCTGCGATACTTCTTCGTGAAGGACGAGATCGAGAAAGGAAGACTCGAGCTGTCATACTGCCCCACATCCGAGATGGCAGCTGATTACTTGACCAAGAAGCTCGGAAAGCAGAAGTTCGAGTACTGCATGCTGCTGACTGGACAGAGCCACGTCACCAACTGCGACACTCCAGAAGCGAAGGGGCATGTTGGAAACAATTAACTCTAAGCGCCTCTGTCGTGTCGAAACACCAAGTCAGAAGCGAAGCGAAGTATATCGAAGCACCAGCGAATCAACTCTCGGAGGTTGAGCGGTTGCTAGAGGTTACGCGAAAGTCAAAGGTCAGCGACCTTTGACCTGACAAGTACAGCGCGACAGCAAGGACACACAACTGACTCGTTACAGAGCAGTTGCCCGAGTCGTCACTGTATCGAACCGCAACAGCAACAGTAAAGTAGTTGCAACCGTATCTCTTCGTATTCCCTGTACTCTTATATAATCTTGTATCGCTTTGCTTTAATCAATCTACTTTGCCCTCACATACTAGCGCAAGGTGGTTCACAACTCTTTATTAAAACGCTTCCGCTATTACATCAGTCCTACCCAGAGTTCACCCCTGCAAAGATCCTAAGGGCTTTTTCTCAGCCCAACAAGACAGGGTGGGCCTAGACCAATTTTGGGCCCTGCTTCCAGCAAGGCAAAACGGTTCGGCGCGCACAAGCTGTAAGTACAGCGCATGTGAAAAAAATCCAAGTGTGTGGGTGGGGTGGGGTTTCGTGAATCACGGGAAGGCACAGTCTGTACACGCGTCGGGTACCCTATCCTCCCCCCCCCCCCACGCGGTCAAGTCCGTTTCAGTGTGACTCACTGAACTATACTGATTCGTCAGTGTAACTTGTATAGAAACACGCAAAATGGTCAGTGTGGCAAAAAGGGTAATACTGAAATATCAGTGCAAAATTGAGGCATATGCTGAATTTTCAGGGAAAACGAAAATATGAGCTACAAAATCAGCGTGTTTTACACTGATATCTGAGGGCCTGATGGGCAGAGTGATCTCATGTCATTGGCTCTCTCCACATTGGAACGTGTCACTATTTTGCCTACGGGCTTTAAGATAGATGACAATGTGATGAAACAATATATTCATGCTGGTACGGTAGATTATATCATTTTTGTAAATACCACGAGACAACTGCATCACACAGCCTAACCCCATCCACTCTAAGGCGATTCCAATAGGGAAGCGCAATCACACAGTGCTCAATCCCCACTGGGATAAACACACCACTACCCTTCCCCCTCTGCTGCACACTTTGAACAAACTTCCCCACATTCTGCCCTGCCCACAGTGCCGCCAATTGCTCACTGCTAGTACACTCCTTACTCGCTTTTTTTCCCGCTAAAGACAGCGCCAGCTGCCGCGGCGAGCTGGCGGTCAGCGATTGGACGGTGAGGTTCGGGAGGAGCCGAAGCAGCTCGGCAACGCACCGAACCGAGTAGGTTTGGTTGGTAGGGGAGAGTTGGTTTCCAAGCATGAGGGCGCGATAGTCAAAGAGAGAATTGATGACAAAGAGGGGGAGGGAGCGGGGTATGAAGGGCAGGGCGTATTGGGGGAAGAAGCAGTGCCACCGCTCACTCGTAGAATAGGCTGCGAGGAGGGGGAGGGGGGGGGTGGGGGAGGTGGGATGGGAAGAGGGGAGGGAGAGGGCTGGTTGGTTGGCTGCAAGGTTCAAGAGGGGAAAGGGAATTAGTATTGGGGGAAGAAGCAGTGCCACCGCTCACTTGCAGAATGGGCTGCAAAGGGGGGAGGGATGGGGGAGCGGGGGGGGGGGGGGAGGGGGGGGAGAGTAAGCGGATGCGGGTTGGAGAGTGGAAGCAAAGGGAGGAACGAAGCGTCAAGTTTGAGTGATGCAAGGGCTGGTTGGCTTACCTTGGTAAAGGGTGGCATATTCTGGGAAAGGGTGGCATACCCAACACACAAAGGGCGGCATACCCAACACACAAAGGCCGCTACCTTGCGCGCATTTGGTGCTGCCAGTGAACTTGTGCAGAGCAGAGCAACATTCCCCTTGAAAAGTGTGAGCTTGTGTTTTGAGGCGACTCTTCTCAATGCCCCTACCTTGCGCGCACTTGGTGCTGCCAGTAAACTTGTGCAGAGCGACAATGTCAGACGCCATTCTCTGAAAGAAAGGCTGCCCATAGCGATCGTTCGAGTCTGTGCGAATTGTGGGGAGAGGTAGGGAGAGGTGGGGAGGGATTGAGGGAATGGGGAGGGGTGGGGAGGGGCGGGTTTGAGGCGGGGAGTGGTGGAGAGGAGGGGGAGGGTAGGTTGTGCGACTAAGTGATCAAACTTATGCAGAGGAACAAGGTCAGATGCCATCCTTTGAACGAAAGGCTGCCCAAAGCGATCGTTCGAATCTGCCGCAGAGTTGAGAGATTTGTGGGACGGATGAGTGGGGCGGGGAGGGGCGGGGAGTGGCGAGAGGTGGGGAGGGGTGTGGAAGGGTGAGAGGAGGAGAGCGACAGGGATGGGTGGGGAAGGGGGTTGACAAAGGGTGTGTCAGAAAACAAGTGATGAAACTTGAGCAGGGCAACAACGTGAGAGGCCATTCTCTGAAAGTATGCCTGCCCTGTGCGATCCTCCAAGTCTGTGCAAGGGGTGACAGGGTCGTTGTTACTCATGGTTTTGGAAGAGCAGCAGTGCTAGAGAAAGCGTTTAGCCTGGCTAAAGAGAACTCTGAAAAAGAGTAAAACCCTGGCTAAAGAGAATTCTGAAAGCTAAAAGCTGTATTCACTCAAAGAGAACAGGTTGCAAACATGTTTCGGCAAGGCGGGGAATCCCGTCAAGCCTTTATCAGTGCTTCTGAAAGTACGCCTTTCCTGTGCAATCCTCGAAGTCTGTGCAAGGGGTGACAGGGCGTGGGCAGCTGGGTTGACAAAGGTTGTGCCAGTAAGTGTTCAAGCTTGAGTAGAGCAACAACTTCAGCAGCCATTCTGTGAAAGCAAGGCAGCCCATAGCGATCTTGGGAGTCTTCATGGGATGGGCAAGTGGAGCAGAGAGCAGTGGGGAGGGGTGGAGAGGGGTGGAGAGGGGCAGTGGTTCATCTTTTGCAGAGCAATAACGTCAGAGCCCATTCTCGCAGGGAGGGGTGTGGAGGGGTGGGGAGGGGTGGGGAAGGGTGGGTGGGGAGGGTAGGGGTGGGGAGCGGTGGAGATAAAGGTTGTGCCGGCAAGCACGTGTTTGAACTTGTGCAGAGCAACAATGTAAGTTAGACAGAAAGTATGGCCATTCTCTGAAAATTCTTTTGAGAATTCTCAAAAAACATATACTTGTGCAGAGCAACAATGTACGAGGCCATTCTCTGAAAGTTAGGCTGCCCCAAGCGAAGCACAGGTTAGTT